TTCTGGAAAAGTTAAGCCATCTTCTCCTCTGGCCCCTCCTGGAATCTTCAGATGCCTGTTAGACCTTCTTACTGTCCTCCTTCTCCTGGCTCAGCCTCCCTCACACTGACCAAGGGCCCGTGCTGCCCACTTCCACAGTTCTCCCTTCCACTCCCCTAGTTCTCGCTATAGCCGTGACTTGTCCACCGCACAGCCCAGGAAGTCTTCAGTTTGGGCTGGGCGTGATGATACGCGCCTGCAGTCCCTGCTACCTGGGATTCTTAGCCCAGTTCAAGGCTGCAGTGAACTTTGATGGTGCCACTGCACGCCAGCCCGGGTGACAGAATGAGATCCTGGCACACCCACACACGAAAAAGTAGCCAGACATAGTGGCAGGCGCCTGTGGTCCCAGCTACTGTGTAGGCTGAAGCACGAGAATCACTTGAACCTGGGAGGTGGAGGTTGCTGTGAGCCAAGACCACGCCACTGCACTCCAACCTGGGTAACAGAGTGAGACTCTGTCTCAGTAAATAAAAAAATTAATTGCTGAGATTTGTTTCCTTTTTAGATCTGCTATTCTGCTGGGGATAAATGTCTTGTTCTTTATGTTTTGGTCCCAACTTTCATGGTTTTATTTTTATTTTTTAGTTTTTGAGACAGGGTCTTGCTCTGTTGCCCAGGCTGGACTGCAGTGTCCACTGTCTCAGCTCCCTGCACCCTCCACCTCCCGGGCTTAAGCCATCCTCCCCGCTTAGCCTTTCAAGTAGTGCACACCACCACGCCCAGCTAATTTTTTAATTTTTTGTAAAGGTGAGGTCTCACTGTATTGCCCTGGCCAGCCTTGAACTCATGGCTCAGCCAGGCATGTACGATTATGCCTGGCTAATGTGTTTTGGTTTTGTTTTGTTTGAGACAGAGTTTCACTCTTGTTGCTCAGGCTGGAGTACAGTGGTGCAATCCCGGCTTACCACAACCTCCAGTTCCCTGGCTCATGCAATTCTGCCTCAGCCTCCCAAGTAGCTGGGATTACAGGCACCCGCCACCACGCCCGGCTAATTTTTGTATTTTTAGTAGAGATGGTGTTTCACCATGTTGGCCAGGCTGGTCTCGAACTCCTGACCGCAGGTGATCTGCCTGCATTGGCCTCCCAAAGTATTGGTACTACAGGCCTGAGCCACCGCACCCAGCCACACCCGGCTGATGTTTTTATTTTACGCATCCTGACTTTGTAGTCTGATAAACCTAGACGCTGAAGTTCCCAGGCAGCCTTCTGTTTCTTGTGACTCCCCTTGGTGATAGATTTTCTTGTGACTTGGGATCGGATGCTCATGGCCAGCTGGGGGCTCTGTGGGAATCCGGGGTGGCCTACTTTGCAGGCAGTCCTTCCAGATGGTTCCGCCTTGGCTTTCGCTAGCTACCCAGCTCATTTTGTGTGTGGTTCTCGGCTTGCAGACTTTGTCCCTAGGTGGCCACCAAAGCCAACCCCCCTTCCCCCCCAATTGTGGGTGCCTATGTTTCAGGTTCCCAGTGATGTTTTGGGGGGCTTCCTTCCCTTCTTACAAGCTTGGTCGTGCATATATTTGATCTGGCATTGCCAGGCGTTCTGTAAGGTAGGGCTTTTCCAGTTCCTGGTCAGTAATGTAGCTGGAAATGGAATCTGGCTGCAGCCACTACTTTTGAACCCATCTTCCGGGCGATCCCTTCCGTCTTCCCGGTGGTTGGAAACTTGCAGGTGGAAGTCTTCCCCACCCAGTTCTGCAGCCCTTGGCTGCCGAGCAGGAATGCCTGAGATGTCCGGCTAATTCCTCGGAATGTCCCAGTTCAGGCCAACCTCCCCCCCTCCAGCTTCTCCCACCAGGCCTTCTTGGGCAGCAGAGGCAGCTCTAGAGGGAGCTGCTGCCTCAGCAGTTTCACCCCAGCCATCCCCACTGCATGGACCTTCATCTAAGGAGGCTGGGTGGTGTGGCCCCGTGGTTAGGAGCAGGGGCTTTGCATTCAGGTAGGACCTGCCTGGGTTCAAATGCCAGGTCCGTTGCTTAATTCTGGGTGACTTCAGGCTTCTTTTTTTTTTTTTTTTTTGAGATGGAGTCTCACTCTGTCGCCCAGGTTGGAGTGCAGTGGCGTAATCTCGGCTCACTGCAGCCTCCGCCTCCTGGGTTCAAGCAGTTCTCCTACCTCAGCCTCCTGAGTAGCTGGGATGACAGGCACACCCCACCATGTCCAGCTAATTTTGTTTTTTGGGTTTATTTCTGAGATGGAGTTTCACTCTGTTGCCCAGGCTGGAGTGCAGTGGTGCAATCGTGGCTCACTGCAACCTCTGCCTTCTGGGTTCCAAGTGATTCTCCTGCCTCAGCCTCCTGAGTAGCTGGGACTACGCCCAGCTAATTTTTTAATAGAGATGGGGTTTTGCCACGTTGACCAGGCTGGTCTTGAACTGCTGACCTCGGGTGATCTGCTCACCTTGGCCTCCCAAAGTGCTGGGATTACAGGCGTGAACTACTGCGCCCGGCCTAATTTTTGTATTTTCATTACAGATGGGGATTCACCATGTTGGCCTGGCTGGTCTCAAACTCCTGACCTCAAATGATCCTCCCACCTCAACCTCCCAAAGTGCTGGGATTACAGGTGTGAGCCACTGGGCCCGGCCAGGCTTCTTTGAGACAGAGTCTCACTCTGTTGAACAGGCTTGAGTGTCATGGCACAATCTCAACTCACTGCAACGTCCACCTCTCAGGTTCAAGCAATTCTCCTGCCTCTGCCTCCCAAGTAGCTGGAATTACAGGCGCCCACCACCATGCCCAGCTAATTTTTGTATTTTTAGTAGAGATGGTTTCACCATGTTGGTCAAGCTGGTCTCAAACTCCCAATCTCAGGTGATTCATCCGCCTCAGCCTCCCGAGGAGTGAGCCACCATGCCAAGCCCAGGCTTTTCTTTCCATCTGAAAATTATCTCAATAAGCACTTCAGGAAGAAAAACCACATCATCATCATCGACGCAATCCCCCGTGGATGGAGTTGCGGTCACTTCCAGTCTTTCCTAATACGAAGAAGGCATCAGACGTCCCTGTGCCAGCTGTTTCACTGGCCTGTGTGGGAGGAACCCCACAAACAGGGCTCCTGGAGCAGAAGGTGTAATTTACAATTTCCCAGTAGCAGCTGCTCATCCAAAGAGCTGCTAGCATTTTACACCCCCACCAACAGCACGGGGGCGCGCCTGGGTCACACACGGGCTGTGTGTGAGGGTTTTCTGATTTTCACCAATCTTGTGGGTGATTAGGGTCAAGTACCCCTTCGGACAATCACAAGCTGTTTGCTTGTTTTTGCATTCAAAGCTACGGGTACTGCGTTACACTCTGTAAGTACCCATTTATTTCCTCACCAAGCTGAGTAGGACGGGTTCTGAGGAGCTCCCCTGTACCGGGAATGGGACTGGGCTCACACAGGGCTGGGTATGGAAGCCTGGAGAGCCCTTATCCTCCCTGGCTGCATCATGCTAGACATGACCATGACCTGGACGGCCTCCATCACCCCAGGGGCTCTGACATGCTCAGATCCCAGGATGGGGCTGCAGTTATGGGGGTCTTAGGTTGGCCTTCCCGAGACAGGCGTCCCTGTCCCCTTACGTCCCCACCCTTGGCTGTCCCCAGGCCTCACCCTTTTCCTGTTTTGATGCTGGCTCTGCTAGGCCCGGAGACAGGGGCATGATGTCCTAATCCTCCCGGCGGGAGCCACCACGGAGAGTTCCCGTGGCCTCGGTCCCCTGCCAACCCACCTTTCCCAGCACTTACATACGCCCCACCTGGCACATGATACATGTGGGGGCTCCTGAGCCCCAGCACCCTGACTTAGTGGGGAGGGACCCCAATGGGGTCCCCACGAAGCCCCCTGACTTCCGCTCCAGGCAGCAGGTCGGGGGAACACCAGTTGCCTGCCCTGGCCGCCAGCACAACACTCGTAAATCAGGGGGTGTCTGGGGCGTAGGAAATGGGTGTGTGGAATGTTGGGGTGGGGTAGGCTGGGGGTGAGCCCTTAACTCTTAGAGGGGTGGGGTGTGGGGCAGGAGATGCCTGGATCCCTGGGTGCAGGAGATGGGCTGGTGCAGACGTGGGGCCTCCTGGCTGCAGGGGCCGGCAGTGAAGAGGTTAGCTCCTAGCTCAGGCAGGGCATAAATTCGGGGCACAGCTCCCACCCTCAGGACCTGCCCATCACAATGGCTGTGGGGAAGGTCCTGCTGGGCTCTCTGCTGCTTCTGTCCCTGCAGCTGGGACAGGGCTGGGGCCCTGATGCCCGTGGGGCTCCGGTGGCCGATGGAGTGTTCTCGTCTGAGCAGGTGGCAAAGGCTGGAGGGACCTGGCTGGGTAAGAACCCCCAGGGACCCTCTGTGACTTCCCAACTTCCCCCAGCCCTGACCCTGCTGTCAGCACCCTTCTCTCCCACAGGCACCCACCGCCCCCTTGCCCGCCTGCGCCGAGCCCCGTCCGGTCCATGCCAGCTGTGGAGCCTGACCCTATCGGTGGCAGAGCTGGGCCTGGGCTACGCCTCAGAGGAGAAGGTCATCTTCCGCTACTGCGCCGGCAGCTGCCCCCGTGGTGCTCGCACCCAGCACGGCCTGGCGCTGGCCCGGCTGCAGGGCCAGGGCCGAGCCCACGGCGGGCCCTGCTGCTGGCCCACTCGCTACACCGACGTGGCCTTTCTTGATGACCGCCACCGCTGGCAGCGGCTGCCCCAGCTCTCGGCGGCTGCCTGCGGCTGTGGCGGCTGAGAGTGCCCGGCCTGGCAGCCAGGAGCTGCAGTGCTGGGGGAGCTCGGCTGACTTATTTATTGGAGACCTGGATGCACAGACAAGGAGGGGAGTGGGCTGGGGTGACCAGCAATGAATGCAATAAAGGACACCACTCTCCCGGCCTTGTGACCTTGACCGTGTGTCCAGCCGGCCACACCTGGAGCTCCCTGTGGGCCAGTGCCATCCTGGGTTCCCCTGCAGATCCCGGCCCCAGCAAGCAGCCACTGCAATATTCCAGTTAGGCTGTCCATTCCCCAACTTTATTCACAAATCCAGTGTCTGTAGAAAGCTGGCGGTCAGCAGGCTGGGGGCAGCTGTCCAGACTCCCCTGGCCCCATGCCCTCAGGGAGGGAGCGGCAGATCACGGAGATGCGCCGGCCCCGGGGAATCCGGCGCTCCCCAAAGAAGGACTCTTCGTCCCGAAGGATCTCATGGGAGAAGTCATAACGGGCTGAGCCCCTGCAGGAGGAAACAGGCTGTGACTGGGTGCAAGGAGGGCAGCCCCTGCTCCAGGCAGACCGGGATTCCAGCCCCCTGCTGCCTCCCACACAGGCCCTGGGGTAAGGGCTTCTTTGGGGAGGGCTGGAGTGAGGGAAGGTACCCAGGGCACTGGGGGGGTGGATGGCACAATCAGCTGCCTGGCTGGAGGTACCTAAGGATGTAGAGGGAGCCCGGCTCTAGCAAGAGTTCCAGCCACTCCCCCGGGTCCTGGGTGTGCACCAGCCGCATAACGCTGGGAGATAGGAGAGACAGGCCGGCGATGGTGGTCCCGCAGAACTGCAAAAGGGGCGCGGGGATGGGTCAGGCTCTGGTCTGGCCTGCCTACCCCCTGGCTGGGAGTGCCAAGGCGTAGGCCTCTGCCCACCTTGATGCTGTCCACGTGGGGCTTGATGTAGCCGCGGGCTTCCAGGTCCAGCACGTGCACGGAGGAGAGCAGGGTCTGGCCGGGGCCAAAGGCGGTCGCCTGCACGCGCTGCAGGATGGCCCGGCTGGCTTCTGACCAGCGCGACTTCTCTGTCTCTCGGAAGCCGTGGATGGCCTGCACAGAGAGCTTGGTCAAGCCTGGGAGCTCCCAGAGGGAACAAGGAAATGGATGCATGGAGGGGCAGAAAACAGGGCAAGGGGCTGGTTTCCCTAATGTGACTCTCCACCCTGCCCTCAACTCAAACTCCCCTAGCCCCCCAACCACGGCCCTACCTAGGTGTGACCTCAGCCCTTAGTACTCACCCTGAGGCTACAGTTTCAGGTCCCCAGTGCTGGCCCGGCCCCAATATTCAATTGGCTGAGTCTCCCTACAACTTGACCCCACCCAAGTGTCCTGTCTCTGTCTCTCATCATCTGGTTCCACATCCGTTTCTGATCCTAACCTTGGTCCCAGATCGCAAAAGTGCTCTCCCTGACCCCAATGTCCTCATCCCCCAGGTCCCACCCCTCCCACAGCCTGAGTTTCAGCCCAGCTCCCACCATAGCCCGGCTCCCAAATCCCTGCTCTAGCTACCGACCCCAACAAGGCCCTGCCCCATCCCAGCATGTGTGTCTCCCCCATCTCCGCTCACAGCCTGGTTCTGCCGTCACTAAACGACTTTCCCGGCCCCCAGCCCCAGCATGGCCCCACCCTATGCTCTTGACTCCTCGGACCCCGCCCCAAGCTTGGTCCCGCCCTATCCATGCGCACGACGACCTGATCCCAACCGCCACGCTCTACCGCCCTGTAACTGCTGCCAGCGTATAATCGCACCCCAATCCCACTCCCGACTCCCTGGCCCCACCCCCACCTAGCCACGCCCCCACGCTCGACTGAGCTGTAACCGCCCCCCAGCGTGACCACGCCCCATCCCAGCAGAGGTCCCCACTGTCCTCGCCCCCAGCGTGGCCACGCCCCGTCCGTACGCTAGACTCCTGTTCCCGCCCCCAGAGTGTCCCCGCCCCATCCCTGCGCTGGTCTCCTTTGTCCCCGCCCCAGCGTGGCCCCGCCCCATCCCTGCGCCCGACTCCCTGCCCTGCCCCACCAGCACCGTAGCCCCGCCCCAACGCTAGACTGCACTGTAACCGCCCCCAGTGTAACCCTGGCCCATCCCGGCGCTCGTATCCTCTGTCCCCGCTCCAAATCCCCGCTCTAGGTACCGCCTCCAGCGTGTTCTCGCCCCATCCGGTGCTCCACGTCCCCAGGCCGCGCCCCCGACGAGCCCCCGCCCCTCGCCCCCCGCGCTGCCAGTCTCACCGCGTCCCAGTGATCGTATTCGTAGCGGCGGCGGCGCAGCTCGGGCTCCAGTTCTCGGTTCAGCGTCTCCTCCTCGGCCGTGCTCAGGAAGCCAGGCCGCACCACGGCCGCGTCCCGCAGGCGGCTCAGCACGGAAGGGCCCGAGCCTCGCACCCAGCTGGGCCCTGGCAGCGTCCGCAGCGCCAGCAGCCCAGTCGCGGCCATAGCCCCGGAGCGGGGTCATGGGAGAGGCCAGGGTTGGGGAACGCCTCCGCCAAAAGTCATTGGCTGTAGCTGCGCCAGACGCCTCCAGCGATTGACCTCCCTCGGAGTCCCGCCTCTCCCTCACGTCTATTGGTTGCTGCTAGACTCGCCTTCACAAGCTATTGGCTTCCTTCCAGAACCCGCCTCCTCTCTTGAGCTTATTGGGCGCCACCTCCTGCCTGGCTTACACCATTGGCTGAGTCGGAAGTCCGTCTGCAGCTTAGCACCGCCTTTTTAATGATGAAAGAGACAACGTACAACCCAGGTGTTGCTTGACCAAGACCTCACAAGGGGATATGGGCAGTATCTGGTCTGAAGTCCGGAGGTCACGGGGACTGGGGCCAAGGCCACAGTTATAGAGTCGACTAGGGCTAGAGGTTAAGGGCAGAGTACAGTGAGGCCGAGATAAGGGTCCGGGGTTAGGTGACTGACGTCAAGGCCACGATTATGTGTGTGGTGGGGCCAGCTATTCAGAGTTAGGGCTTATGGTCAAAGGTCAAAGCAAGGCTTCTTCATTCATTTCCCCGTCTCCGTATTACTTTGCTTTAGGTTTGAAAATGGCATTATGGTTGTCTTTTTTATTCCTTGGCCGGGCGTGGTGGCTCATGCCTGTAATCCCAGCATTTTAGGAGGCCGAGGTGGGTGGATCACCTGAGGTCAGGAGTTCGAGACCAGCCTGGCCAACATGGTGAAAACCCGTCTCTATTAAAAATACAAAAAATGAGCCGAGCGTGGTGGCGCGCGCGCCTGTAATCCCAACTACTCAGGAGGCTGAGGCAGGAGAATTGCTTGAACCCAGGAGGCGGAGGTTGCAGTGAACCAAGATCCAACCACTGCACTCCAGCCTGGGTGACACAACAAAACTCTGTATCAAAAAAAAAGGAAAAAAAAGTCCTCGTATTTTACAAATGCAAACTGAAAAAAAAATATTTATAGATGAAAAGATCTCTGGGATTTGCTTCCACATAAATCTAGGCTGTGGAGGCAGGGATGGGGTCGGGTAGGGAAGAATCACATTTGACCGTGAATTAATTGTTGAACTGGTGTGATAAGTACGTGGGGTCTCATTACCCTGTTTTCTCTACTTTTGTTTATGTTTATTTTTATTTATTTTTGAGACAGTCTCACTCTGTTGCCCAGGCTGGAGCACAGTGGCACGATCTTGGGCCCTGGAGATTTGCAACCTCTGCCTCCTGGGTTTAAGTGATTCTCATGCCTCAGCCTCCCAAATAGCTGGGATTACAGGCACCAAACCGCCATGCCCAGCTTTTTTTGTTTTGTTTTTCAGACCGAATTTCCCTCTTGCCACCCAGGCTGGAGTGCAATGGTGCGGTCTTGGCTCACTGCAACCTCAGCCTTCCAGGTTCAAGCTAATTCGCCTGCCCTTACCTCCACGTGAGCTGAGGATTACGGGCAGCTGCCACCGGACGCCTGCTGAATTTTTTATTTTTAGTAGAGATGGGGGTTTCAACCGACATTGGCCAGGGGCCTGGCCTCAAACTCTCGGACCGTCAGCGTCTGATCCGCCTGCCTTGGTCCCAAGTGCCCTGGGATTACAGGATGTGTGAGCACCGATGCCCGCGCCTATAAATTTTTTATGTATTATTATTATTATTACTTTTTCTTTTTTTTTTGAGAGACGGAGTCCGCTCTGTCACACCAGCTGGAGCGGCAGTGGCCGGACCTCAGGCTTACGCAAGCTCCGCCTCCCGGTTAGCCATTCTCCGCTGTCTCAGCCTCCCGAGAGCGGGACTACAGGCGGCCCGCCAACTGTCGCCTGGCTACGTTTTTTTTTTTGTGATTTTTTAGTAGGAGACGGGGTTCACCGTGCTTAGCCAGGATGTGCTCAATCTCGCTGCACCTTTGATCCGCCTGTCTCCAGCCTCCCAAGAGTGCTGGGATACAGGCTTGAGCCACCGCGCTCGGCCCTTTTATGTATTTTCTTTACAGAGTAAACAATAAAATGTTATTTATGAATTTTCTCCCTCTATGCCCAGGCTGCTGGGAGTGCAAGGGCAGGATCGTAGCTTCACTGCACGCCCGCAACACTTGGTTGCAGTGTAGATCCTCTTCGCTCAAGCCTCTCAAAGCTCAGGGGTTACTTCTTCTATGTATTTTTAATGTCCATAATTGGCAAAGTGCAACACTGTAACTGCTAAGATGTGAGCGCTGGGCGCCCTCGCCCGAATGCTTGAATTTTGAAAACTTCATTGAATCCCCTATTCTCCCTCCGGCTACATCCGCCCCCCAAACTCCTGCTCCGCTTAGTGTAGTAATCATTACCTATCGAAGGGAATAGTCTGTAATTCCTTGAAAGACTTGTCTACTGTCTTGATATTTCCTATCCTTATTCTGTCTGGATCCACTCCAGCCTGTTTGGCTTCCCACAGTACCAGAAATCCCTGAGTGTTAAGGCCACCAGTGGACATCCACAGCACCGAATCCAATAGCCATCTCCATGTCTGACTTAAGTTAACCTACATGCTAATGCTGCCTACATTTTTGATCTTCAAACTCTCTTCGACCCTGATTGTCTTTTTAGGGGACATACCACAAACACCATGTATAATCATATCCAAAGAATCAAGTCCCTGAGTGCTCCCCAAGCCTGTTCCTTTCCCTACACTTCCCATCTCAGGTGACAGGTCTCCATCTTCCTGCTTTGGGCCATCAGCTCGGAGTTTCTGGAAACTGCTCTCTGTCACATCCCACCTAGCTAGAATCTGACTTTGTCTTACCACTCGGCCAGGCCTGCCATCAGCTTTCATCTGGATTACTCCAGCTCTCCTAACTGCTCTCCAGTTTCCGTCCAGGGTGCACTCCTCAGGAGTCACAGTCATCCTTATTTTCCTTCCTCTTCTCAAAACTCTCCATGTTTCACCTCCCTCCTTTTAGATGTCAGGCCTTTTATGATCTATTCTCCTCAATCACCTCCACTTTTTTTTTTTGTTTGTTTGTTTGTTTTTGTTTGTGGACAGAATCTCACTCTGTTGCCCAGGCTGGAGTGCAGTGGTGTGATCTTGGCTCACTGCAACCTCTGCCTCCCGGGTTCAAGCGCACCACCATGCCTGGCTAATTTTCACCTCTACTTTCTGATCTCATCTCTTCCACCTTCCCTCAGCCACGGGCCTCCTCATAGGTCCTCTCACATGCCAGGTACTGTCCTGCCACAGGGCCTTTGCACTGGCTGTGTCCTCTGCCTGGACACAGGCTCCATCCCTCCCCTCCTTTGAGGCTTTGCTCAAACACCACCTTCTCAGTGAGGGCTTCCCTGATTACCCCATAGAAAACTGTAACACACTCACCCTCACACTTGCATGCCACCTTTCCTGTGTTTTTTGTTTTTTTTGACAGAGTCTTAAAATGTTTTATTATTTTCTCCCTCTATTGCCCAGGCTGCTGGAGTGCAAGGGCAGGATCGTAGCTCACTGCAGCCTCGAACACTTGGGTTCAGGTAGATCCTCTTCGCTCAGCCTCTCAAAGCTCAGGGTACTTTTCTATGTATTTTTAATGTCCATAATGCAAAGTGCAACACTGTAACTGCTAAGCATAGCCTGCCCCCCTCCCGAATGCTTGAATTTTGAAAACTATTGACCCTATTTCTCCCTTCGGCTACATCCGCCCCCCAACTCCCTGCTCCGCTTAGTGTAGTAATCATTACACTATCGAGGAGATAGTGTAATTCCTTGAAAGACTTGTCTATGTCTGATATTTCCTCCTATTCTTTCTGGATCCACTCCAGCCTGGCTTTTGGCTCCCACAGTACCAGAAATGCCCTGATTTAAGGCCACCAGTGACATCCACAGCACCGAATCCAATAGCCATCTCTCAGTCTGACTGGTAATTAACCTACATGCTAATGCTGCCTACATTTTTATTTCAACCTCTTGACCCTGATGTCGAGGGACATAACAAACACCAGGTATAATATATCCAAAATCAAGTCCAGGCCGCGGTGGCGGTGGCTCAATGCCTGTAATCCGCAGCAACCTTTTGGGAGGCCGAGGCGGGTGAATCACAAGGTCAGGAGATCAAGACCATTCCTGCGCTAACACGGTGAAACCCCGTCTCATACTAAAATACAAAAATTAGGCTGGGAATGGTACGACCTTAATCCCAGCAGCTCCGAGCGCTGAGGCCAGGAGAAATCAACCTGAACTTAGGACGTGCGGGAGGTTGCAGAGCTGGAGCAGGGCATCACGCCAACTGGCACTCCCATGCCCTGGGCAACAAAGCAAGACTCTGTCAAAAAAAAACAAAAAACACAGGAAAGGTGGCATGCAACAGTGTGAGGGTGAGTGTGTTACAGTTTTCTATGGGGTAACTCAGGGAAGCCCTCACTGAGAAGGTGGGTGTTTGAGCGCAAAGCCCTCAAAGGAGGGGAGGGATGGAGCCTTGTGTCC